GGGACACACGGTGGCAGTTAGTCCCTAGCTCAGCCCACCCAGCTGAGCCTCCCCACCCTGCTCAATTCTGCAGGCTTGTTTTCTGCACAGATGCCAGGAAGCTCTCGGAAAGGTCAGCTCCGTTCCTTTGTGATGAGGCAAAGTTGAGTAATTACAAGAGATCATGTTTCAAAACTGGCATTCCCATGAACTTGCCAGAGCAAGCCATTCCCTCCCACTTTTTTTCCTTCAAATTTATTGCACTATAAACCCAGACTGATTTTTATGTCCAAAGTAAATTTTGTGATATCATTGCTTTGTTTAGGTGGTCAAAGTCCAGTCTTTTTTAAAAGTGAAAGTTCTTCCCTCCATATTAAATAAAGCAGAGAACATTTCTTATTTAAAGAAATATAGTTTTGTAGTTTCAAAGAGGAGAGTTCACATCATGGTCAATCTTGAGACACAGGCTACAGAAAGGAAATAGATAAACATTCCTTTCTTTTCTTGTGGCTGTAAGGCGGCTCCAAGCACTGAACCATCTAGCATTTCCTTCAGAGTTTCTCCAGGTCTTCTCCAATGCATGGTCCTTCATCTGCCAGACTTCTCACTGTGGGCCTGGCAGGGAGAGCTCTGTGGCTGCATGGCCCACCAGGGGTGCAGTCCCTTTCCTCTGAAAGTGCTTGGACAACCCAAATATCAGCCACTCTGCATTGATGGGCCTTTTCTGTTCCTGAAATCTGTCCTTGCTGGAGATTTGTTTGTGTATCATGGCTGAGTACTGGGAATGGGGGACTCAATAGACCACGTTCTTGTTCACCATCAAAATACCTTACAAGTGAATTCACATTGGATGCTCTGGAAGGGTGTGAGTAAGACCCTCCCATGCCTGCTCAGGGAGCCTGAGACCCAGTTTCACAAGGGGTAATGCAACCAGATGAAAATCAGCCACTCTCTCACGTTTTTATGTCCTTTAAGTGTGAATTGGCTACTTGAGCAATTCTTTCTTTTAAAATGAAGGAGCTGAAAACAAATTTCAAGTTCTACTTTGCCCTCTTCAGGACTCTCTTCCTAGATGGGCCCTGTGAATAAATGGACATAGTTATCAAGTGTGCTCGTGTTTGAAGCAACAAGTCTCAGCTCTTACTGTTCTATCTCTTTGCAAGCATAAGACTTTGAAACCTCCATTCTAGGAAAAACCACGAGGGCTCTCTGCCAGTTCATATTCAGCAGCTGAAAGCTTCCAAGTGGAATGAATAGCTACTAAAAATATTGAGAGTTTGGGAAAATATGCTTCAGCTTGATCTCCATGACCCTGTGCACATTCTAGTGTTGCCCTTGGTTCCTCAGCAGATGCAGAGGCAGGAGAGCAGCTCAGCGTTGTCTTCTGGTGCCTTTCTCCTCCATCTAGGGACTAGCCTTTTGTGAGTGATTTATATTCCTGTCTACTCTGAGCAACAGATTATGGTTACTCAGGAGTGTTTGATATGCTATTTCTGGAGACTGCAGGAATTCCCTTCCTAGTTGTTTTGTGTCTCTGAAGCACAGACTGGTGTGCTTAGCTAAAGAAATTTGGGGTCTGGGGCTGTGGGAGGCACTGGGTCTAAATAAGTGAGATAAAAGGTATTGTGTCCATCTACAACTAAAAATATATTTAAAAAGAAAAGAAATCTTGGAATATCTGGTGTGCACATGCTGTGCAACTGAGAAGAGGAATGGAAACCCATCTGACAGGCGCAGGAAGCCTAAGCTTATAGCCTAAACCGGGCACTGAGGCAGCAGTGGTTAAGGGCTCAAGGGAAGATTCATAGGTGAACTCAGCAGGCTAGAGAAAAGGGGAAGTGACTTTCAGTGGGTGGGGAGGTTGGCCAGGTGGGACCTCAGGAAATCTCCTTATGCAAGGGATTTCACAATTCTGGATGCAATCTTTGGGACACGGCCACAAGATTAGACAACCCATGTGACATAAAATGGCACAGTGGGACCTATTTAAAGTAGAGTTGTCTTGCCTGGAAGAAATGTCCTATTTAGTCTTATAGCAGCTTGCCTGTATTTTAATCATATGAAGAAATAAAAGAAAGGACTTTTTAAAGTTATTTTGTGTTGATTTTTTTCCCTTGATTTTTTAAAGACTTTAAAAGCTTTTAAGGTTTTTTTTTTTTTAAGTCTTAAAATGTTAGGATTCAGGTTCTGCTATTTGCTTTAAGGGTCAGGTGATGAAGAGCAGGGCACCTGAAAACTGCTAAAGGGATGTGCTTCTCCCTAGAGCCAGTTGGGACTGTGCTGTGGTCTCAGACTGACTCTGACCCCTAGGAACCATCTCAAAGAAAGCAGCCTGTGTGCAGGCCTCTCCTGATTCACCATTGGCCAGTGCTGGAGGTTTGCAGTGTGGTCCTCCACACTGGACAGCAGACCCACTCTGCTCCTGGGCGTCACTTGGCCACTCCTGGCAATTCTTCATGCATGTTGTGATTTAGGGCTGTGCCAGTTCTGAACATGTACGGACAGCCTGAAGGGAGTTGGAAGCTTGGGGAAGATGTTGTGGAGGACATTTGAGACATAAGTTAGGCATGGCCAGGCAGAGGAGAGAAAGGTGTTCCAGGAGAGGTGGTGGAGATTATGATGGCCCCTCTTCCTGGATCAGAGGAAGAGGGGAATGAAGAGAGCACCCACATCACTTTGGAAGAGTGAACTACCACGGATACCCGTCTCCATCCTCCCCAACAGCCTTGGAGGGGTGTACCTTTGTTCTGTGCCCTGAGACATTAAGGGGCATCTGCCAGGTTTCTGCTGTGGAGCTGTTTTAGCTCCTGCCCAAGTCTCACCTGTTCCCGGTGGTGGCAACGTGCTTGGCTACCCGGAGGTGCCAGTGTCAGTAACTATTCTAGCAGGTTCATGGAAGTTGCACTGTAAACACTTCAGTAAGACATTGGATGGTTGCTCTTTTCATGCCTCGAGCTCTAATTGCTGCTTAACTCGTTTGAAATACTTGCAGCGCCTGTAGGAATGCTAGCCGTTAGCCATTGGGCGATGCTATTTGATGGGGATTTTGGCATAGTTCTTTTCATTTTTAAAAGCTTCTTGGGTTTTGGTGCACTTTACAGAGATTGTCTGAATTTTGTTTTATCTTTACAGTAATCCTCAAGGTCAGTAATTAGGGGTGGTTAGGGAGGCGCCCCGTTTTGTGGATGAGGTATGGAGGGATCAAGTTGTCTGGTCACAGCCTGTCTGTGGCAGAACTTGAACCCGACATCAGTCTGACTCAGACCTCAGGCTCCTTCCCTGTACCTGACTACTCATTACAGCTGTCATTACTGATGAGCTGAGTCCCAGCCAAGTCACTTATCTTCTGGGTCCTTGGAATCTGTGTGTCTCACCCACTCACTGTGAATCCGTTGTTCATCCAGCAGATGCCTAAGTGTCAACTATGTGGCAGGCATGGTTTCAAAGTGTAACACAAGGCTCTAGGTCATGAACGTAAAGAAAATTTAAATGTAAAGATATTTATTTCCACACAGAGTGAACAGAGTGCACTGCCAAGCGTTAGTCATGTAATGCTTATGTGCTTGGATGGGTTTGCCCTGGTAGCTTGCTAGAAATCCTCTTCCTGGCTTCTACAGGGCCTGTAATGGCTCTGGGCTGATGCCTGTGCAGCCAGGGACACTCCAGACAGAACCCACCCTCCTTCTCTGCAAGGGCACTGCTATTCTCTTTCTGGCTATTGAGTCTCCCTTTACCCTGAACCAGAGCACCTTAAACATATGCCCAGGGCTCCCTCCCCAAACGCTGCCTGGGTTCACCTGGAACTCACCCTCGGCCAGGTGCCCAGAGTGCCTTTCTTGGGAGGCTGCTGAGGGATTCTTGCATGCTATGGAGATGGCTTGGCGTTTGTTTCCTTGACCACAGTCTTAAGTGGGAAGGAAACCAGAGGCTGGGAGGAGAGGGTGGGCCTCAGCCTTGAGAGCTTTTCTTTAAAGTGGTAATACGATCCTTGCCTTGAGGAGAATATCTCCTTTCCTTTTGAGGAAAAATGTCTTTAAGGTCTGCAGTGATGGTTTTCTGACTCAGGGCAGCTAGGAAATGAATCTTGTCTGTCCTCCTGATTGGGAAGGTGCCTGAGTGAGAGCCAGGCTCCACCTCTACAGGAATGTCTTTATGAACAGTTGAACAAATTCCCAGATTAGAAAGAGTCTCTGCCGCTGATGTCACTCTTTCCTGAGTAATTCTGGGTGGTTATTTACTGCATTCTGCCTGCCAGGGGCCAGAAACTTTGAATGAGCTGTATTATTAGAACTTGGAGCTACAAGCACGTAGGAAAGCACTATCTGCCGCTTAGGCTTAGGACGAGGGTTTCAAAGACCCACTGGGCCCACTGAGCCTGGGGGGTGCGTGTGGCCTGGGGAGCTAGCTAAGCCTCACCCCGCCCCCTCTGCCTGAGAAGTCGAAGTCTCGGCAGTGGGACCTCAACGTCTGCACAGCCAGGGTAAGTGTAGCGCTTCCAGCTCAGGGCAGACGGTATTTTCTGAAGCACTTGTGAGTGCTGTTGTAGTCTTCCTTATTTTCCTGGCCAAATAAAGTACTTTTTAAGCTGAGAATTAGTAGGACTACTGTACTGAGCAATTGAGGAAGTTGTTGGCCAACTTGCTAATTGATCACATAACGTGCTGGTGAGGTCACGTTCTGTGGGAGTCTGTGTCTGTCCAGATTTTGCCTCATGTGTGTAGCTGCTTGACGAGGGCTGTGTGGGATTGCTCGGGTCTTTCTGATCTGCTCAGAGTGCACTTCGGCGTATAGATGCTTCCCCTTGGCCAGTCCTCCACTCTCACCAGCCTCTCTCTTCCCTGTGCCCCTGAGAACCAAGGCTGCTCTAGCGTCCTGGCTCAGGGTTAGGAACCCAATGTGGCGTTCCCCTTTCTTTATGAGTGTCCTCCACTAGGGTCCAGGTGTGTTCCTGGAGGGGCAGGGTGGGCAATGATGGGTGCTGCTCGGGCTCTCAGCCCCCTGATTCAGTGTGTTTTCTCTAGCACGATCCTGGAGGAAGAGAAGGCTCAGCAGGAAGAACGGATGAGGATGGAGTCCAGAAGACAGGCCACCGTGTCTTGGGACTCTGGAGGGTCCGACGAAGCACCACCCAAGGTAGCCACCGTCCCCACCCCAGCTTGGGGTGACTCTTTAAGTGCCTTCTGGAGTCTGTGCTGTAGATAGCTGTTTCCTTTGAGGAGAGAAGAGTACGGTTGCAACCAGTGTTCCCTTCGTCCCTCTGCAGGTCACCCTCTTGTGTTCCTTTCCATAATTTGCATTTCAGGTGGAGGCTGTTGGTGACCGTAGAGTATGCTCCCTTTCCTCTGCACCTCCCTCCTCCACAGTGGAGGAACCTTTTCTTTCATTGACTGTCAGGGGTCTCCCTAATAATCGGTCATTGCTAAACATGAAACTGGGCCACAGACGCCTCACGTTTCACTGTATTTTAAAATGAGTCCAGTCCCACCTGACCATGTCCCTTTTGCTTTGTCTCCATTTGCTGAGAACACCATGCACATTTTCTGCCTGCGGCTGGGGTATCTGTGTGGGAGCTCGTGGCTCTTGCTTTCCTTCCTCAGAGAGGCCTCTCACCTTGCCTGCACACTGTCCCTGTCCCTCCTTCTTTTGTCTTCTCCCACCCAGGAGCGCAGCTATAGCCTTCTGCCATGGCTGGGGTTTCAGTAGAGTTGGCCCCTGATGCTTTGAGTGATCGAGTCTTTCTGCACCATTCCAAAGAGTGGCTTTTCACACCATGTTGTACTGGCCATGAACATGCCTATCAGGCCTTTTTCTGGAAAGCCAAAAAATAACAGGCATTTTTGCAGTTAATAGTTACTTGTTCTTTGATAATTGATTAGCTAAAAATATGACTTTAATTAAGTATTCATCTTCTTTTTAAAAACTATTCACAAATCTGCCAACACAATATAATTTAAGTATTGAACCATTCAACATGATTCCTGAAAACTTATTTTCTTGTTGAGCCATGTAGCAGTAAACCTGTCACCACATTGAAGGTGAGCATGGGTAGTGAGCACAGTCCTGCAGAATGGAGGGGTGAAGGGGCCTCCGCCCAGCCCCCCTGCAGAGAAAGAAAAGCACCCCACTCCAGGGAAGGCCCAAGCATTCCTCTGTTGTTCCTAGTTTAACAACAGCATGACTCCTTGGTGCCCACGGAGCCCCTCTTCCTGGTCTCCACAGTTGGCCTGTGTTTTAATTCTGTAGCAGCTGCACAATGGCACTGTGCTGGGAGGCAGGAGAATCATGTCTTGATCACGCTTTGCTGCCGGTCGGGGTAGTTACCTCCATACTGCACACCTCACTTTCCTCCTCCAGCCAGTGGGACGTGCTGTGAGATCATTCACCCTTCGGCTCTCCTCTTGGCACACTGAAGTATAGAAACCTCAGTGTTCTGTGACAAACACTACACGGTGCCACACTGCCTGCCCTGGAACTCATGGAATTGAAGAACTTTTTTCATCTAAATATTTCTTTCTTTCCTGTCTGTCTCTCTCTCTCCCTTCCTCCCTTCTCTTCCTCTGGTGTGCTATGGATAGAACCCAGGGCCTCCCCGGTGTCAGGCAGGCTCTCTATCACTGAGCCACATACCAGCCTCTAAGCATCTTTTTATATCCCAATCTGTTGGTTTATCATTTATATTTGACTTTTAAATTAGGGCCACGGGGTAGAGCTGGCTTGGCTTTTCTTGGCTTAGCATACAAGAGCCCTTGCACTGATCTTTTTAAACTTCGGTCTGTCTCTTGCTTTCACTTTCTCTTTCTTTGAAATGTCTTTGGAATGTGCGTCTGAAGCCCTTGTCTGCAGGCGGAGGTTCTTCCCTGTACCACACGTGTTTGCAGCAGAGCCTTCTGCCTGGTCCTGTCCGCCAGACTTGGGATGTCATCACAGGTGTGGGGTGATCCCAGGCAGCGAGCCGGGCTCTCCTGTACACCAGGCAGAATCAAGTCTCATGTGCAGTGTGTTCCTTCCCAGAGTTCACCGTCGGGGTCAGGTTCTGCATTCATGGTCACAGTCCTTGCCGTTTCTAAAGTGAGTCTGTTACTCCAAGGTAGTGGGCCAGCACTGTGCTTTACTCTGCCCCACAAGATGGGGACTCTGTGGATCCCATGGGTTTTCCTCACTCCAACTGTGATACCTCAGGATACATCCCACTTGGATTTCCTGACTTTGTAGATAAATTTTGTGTACTAGTAAAACATTGGGCTGGGGGTACAGCTATGTGGCAGAGCGCTTGCCTAGTGCTGGTTCGGTCCCCAACACTGCACCAAAAAAACAACAACAAAAAATTTTTAATATGGCTTTATTAGGTTTTTTTGGTCATTGATTTGTTTTTTTAATATGTTTTTTAGTCTTAAATGACACCATATCTTTAGTTTATGTGGTGCTGAGGATTGACCCAGTGCCTCACACATGCTGGGCAAGTGCTCTACTGCTGAGCTGCAGCCCCAGCCCCAGCCCCATGGCTTCATTCGTTTTTTAAGCAAAAATGTCTTTCTCCTATCCAAGACTCAACAGCTTAACTGTACTTAATGGCTAAGGCTTACAGCCGGGCGGCAGCTCCGAGGCAGAATTCTGCCCGAGGGCCTGGGCCCATCCTCAGTTCTCCTTATCCCACTTACACACTATAGGAGGCCACGTTTCTTCCCAGTGGTTGCAGTCCTGGAAAGTAAACTGACAGGCCCCGCAAAGCGTCACCTGTGGTAACGGGAACGCAGAGCCGCTTCTGGGCTCCAATGGAGTTTGTGACTCTGTGTTTTGTCACCTAGATGAAGTTGAGTGACATGGGAATCCCTATGTTTGCTGGAAACTGCTCACCAGTCCCCCACCCAGTCCTCGTGGCTGACAGGAGCACCTCACAAGTGCCCTGCATGCCCCGAGGGCTGCCCTATCTTTCTCTCATCCCCCTCAGGAGAGTTGGCAAAATCCCCTCCACCACACATTCTTTCAGGTGAAAACCCCAGTTTTCTTGGAGGGGGAGGTGCATTGACCCTCCTGGGTCACAGTGCTCGGCGACATGGACACTGTCTTAATGACAGCTAGAATCTGGCCTGGCACCCACCTTTTCCCTGGCCTTGACCTTGGTTCCTCTCCACAGCATTAGACTCTGGGCACCCTTGGTGCAGTCACTTCATCGTCATAGAACCTTTCCGTCTTCTTACTTGTTATTTTGAAATGGAGCCTTATAGGTTTTATCACTCACCTCTATTTTTTTGAGTCACTGCAAGATTTTTTTTTTTTTTTAGAGCTTTTGCCATTTTTATTTCTTTGCTATGTTCCTTTTTGTTTGAGTCAAGTGCACTTCTCATATAGAAGCATGATGGCGCAGCAGATTTTAGAATTCTGCCATTACTAGCTGTGTGACTTTATTCAAATCACCTGCCTTCTCTGAGCCTACGTAAAATGTATGGGTCATCGACAGATTTTACTTGTACGTAAAAGCCCTTCAGAGGTTATGCGAAGTATATACCGAGTAAATGGCGGCTGTTTGTATTTCCGCACCTTTTACTTATGTGCCATTTTCAGAATTTAAGCCGTGGATGTTGCCCTGTGACTGGGAAGCTCCGTCTGTTGCCCCAGCTCTTGGCTCTGCGTCCTTCCACACAGGATCCAGGACGTCTTTCCCGCGCAGCCGTTATGGTACTGCTTACTTATTGGCACGTTCCTCTAAACAGCTCTTGCCACAGCAGTCTCAGTGTACAGAGGAAGTCACACTCTTCCTTTTGAAACCTCTTTTAAATCACTACAACCACTTTTTCAAATTAAATCTTTAAAGATGTAAATCTGCATACAGCCCCTTAGCCCCAAGGAACACACTTTGTAAGCTGCCGCTTTGGCAGGAGTAGAGAGGAGCCTAGAACACCCCTCAGACCCTTTCCTGTTGCAGGGGTCTTTGAGGAGTTCATGCTCACATTCAATTAAGTTTGGAGTGGGCTGAATCTCTGAGGGGCTGAGGGGTAAGGGAACCTTCCTGTCCTCAGGAAGTCAGTGGCTCCTTGTTAGGCCGAAGCGAGTATAGAAATGCTGGCCCTGCCCCTGAGTCAAGGGGAGCAGAGGACCTGTGTTTCCCCAAGGCCGGCAGGACCAGGAGACCTTTGTTAAAGACTCATGGGATGGGAAGTGTCCCACAGATAGAGATGTGGATGTTCCAGGCCTTGGGCACAGTGCAAGAGCAAAGCCTGAGTCCACCCCGCACCAGTGCCAGAGGACATGGTGCCACAGAGTCTTCAGTGTCCCGCTTGCTGGGCGCCAGTCCAAGTCTTTTATACTCTGGTCTTAACTCCTCTGAGACCAGTGTATTCCCACCTGGTTGAATCCCTGTGTCATGTAAGACCTTGTGGACTTCCCTTGTTTTCCCCTCTTGTTTCAAACTCAACTCTCCCTTTGCTGTGAACTTGAATTCATTTATCTCGGAAGCTGGAATTGAGATGCTCAGTGCTGGAAGGGGCTGGAGAGCTCTTCTGGCTCCACCTGCCTGATAGTGAGAAAGATGAGGCTTGGCAGGTGGATCACTGGCCCAGAAGGGCACAGCAGAGAGCACCAGAGCAGGCAGGCGACAGAGGGCATGCCCAGTGTGGCCAGTGTCCTTCACTGGTGGCAGTTTAATAGCTTCATGGGGACAGAATTCATGACCAACCTACCCCCAAGACCATGCACACAGCTTTTCTGTGTGTTCAGAGTTGTGCACCCACTTCCACAGTGACCCCCCAAGTGTCTGGCTCCTCGAGGCACACCCTCCCGATTCCTGTGCCTGCTGTTGCGCGACTCCTACTCTGGACACCCTGTGGGTGGAATCACTGTGGTTCCTTGTAAGCGTTTCTTCTCTCAGCGCGTGCCAAGGTTCCTCTGTGTCATAGTCTGTGTCAGCACGCAGGGCCACATGGTGCTCCCCTGTAGGTGTGCTGCGTGTGTTCTCCTCTCCTGCGGGTAGTCATGCTCCCTCTCTGGCTGCTGCAGATGGTGCCTTTGAGAGCCATGTTGGCCCAGATGTGGGCTGCACTTCTCTGCTGTGCATCCCCACCTCTGGGGCTGCTGGAGCCGTCCCTTGACTGCCCTCCACAGAAGCTGCCCTGGTCTGTATTCCTAGCAGCAGTGCTAAAAGGTTTCCATTTTTCTACATCCTGGTTTGTTTACATTTCCTGTGTGTGTTCGTCACACCATTGCAGCGATGACAAGCCGAAGGTCACTACGGCTTCAAGGTGGTGGTGTGCTGGAGCCTCGGGAGCTGAGCGCCTTTCCTGTTCTCGGGGGGGGGGTGCTTGTGCCCCCCCACTCTTAAGCAGCACCTTTTGCCATCTCACCACCAACCTGCTCAGAGTCTCTGTGTGTTCGAACGTGTTTCTTAGATAAAGTACTGGCAAGGGCTGTGTCTGCGGCTGGGGCTCAGCAGTAGAGCACTTGCCTAGCACGTGCAAGGTACTGAGTTTGATCCTCAGCAGCACATAAAAATAAATAAATAAAATAAAGGTATTGTGTCCAGCTGCAACTGGAAGACAGATAAAGCATTGGCAAGCATTTTCTTGCGTCCTTTGGATTGTGTGCTCGCTCTGGGTGGTGGTATTTGCAACACACGCTTTGTGTTTTTGATGATGTCCTTCTCACCTTCTCTCCTCCTTTGGTAGGTGTTTTTGGTGTTGTAGCTTAGAAACTGTTGCCTAACCCAGGGTCTCAAAGATTTGCCCCTGTGTCCTTTTCCTAAGAACCTTAGAGCTTTCACTCTTTCATTTAGGTTGTGGTCCACCTTCAGTTAATTTTTGTGTGTGATAAAGGAATAATCAGCCTTTTTCACATGCAGGGGTCTTCTTTCATCATTGAAATATCTTAGCATTTTTATTGTTGCTTTTTAAAAAAATATTTTTCTTTAGTTATAGATGGACATAATGACTTTATTTTATTTATTTATTTTTATGTGGTGCTGAGGATCAAACCCAGTGCCTCACACATGCTAGGTGAGCACTCTTTCCACCGAGCCACAACCCCAGCCCTTTATCATTGCTTTTAACCAAGCTGTTTGTTAGAGATATATTTTCCTATTATTTCTGTGAAACTTAGACCTGTAAATGTTCATTCATATGATACACTGTTGATTTCTTCACAGCCCAGCAGACCTGGTTACCCTAGTCCGCGCTCCAGTGAGGGATTTTACCCCAGCCCGCAGCACATGGTGCAGAGCAATCATTATCAGGTACCGTCATGGCAGACGTGAAGTGTGTTACTTGGCTTTTCCATACTTTGGTGGTGGGAAGATACATGGTATGTATATTTCCATTTTGTATTTGTTACTCATTTTGGTGAGTGACCTAGGAAAGTTGTCACCTGGTCATTGCCTACGTGACTGTTGTCTCTGGACACCATGCAAGGCATACATGTCCTCACAGTCTTAATGAGACAGGCTGGTGCCCCAGCAGTTGTTACGCCATTCTCTCCTACTTGCTCTTGCAAGGCACAAGTTGGAACCAGTAGATACGCATTATGCAGAGGTAATACTGAACATCAGTTTTTCCAGAAGACAAATATAAAATTTAAAATGACTGTAACAAACCAGACAAAGTACTGTCTAGACAGTGGACGGTGTGGAAGGGACGCTGGACGTGCCAGCCAGTACCATGCACAGGTGAGAAAGGAGCACCTTAGTAGAGGACCTAAAGCAGTCAGTAGCATCTGTCTTTGTTCTCGAGGGAAGGGATTAGCTTTTGTTGGCTTGCGTTACCTGCTGTGAAGTGCACAAGTCTGGTTTCTGACCAATGCCAACACTCTTCTGTCCCATGCCCACCTCCCAGGACAGGCCCCAGAGGCCCCTCGTGCCCTTCACAGAATGTCACACCTGCCCTGGGAGCAGCACTCTTCTGACTTCTGTGACTTGCTAAGTGCCTAGGCAGCATATAAACAGCAAAATAAGACTGTCATCACTGAACAGATGGTCGGTGAGCCTCACCAAGCCGTTTTCCTCTCCCATCAGTGAGGCCAGCTATAGTGCCTTTGCTGGTGTCTCTCTGTATTCCCTTTTAGCCTCAGGTGTCCACTGGTTCTTCCACATGGCCAGTATTATTTAGAAAACAGCTTAAAATTAACACCTATAAGTCAGTTGCACTCCTAGTCATCGTGATGAATCTACTGAAAGAGAAATTAGGAAAACTATCCCATTCACAATAGCCTCAAAGAAAATAAAATATTTGGGAATCAAGCCTTAACAATTAAAACTATACAACACTAAAGAAATTGAATATACACACACACGTTGGATTTTTGGAAACTTTAGCTGGGCTGTCAGCTTTGGGAAAAGTACCCCAGTTTACCATGTTGAGTTGGCTTTGTAGAGAAATTAACAAACGTATTAGTCTAGAAACGTTAAACTTAACTTTTTTCCATTTGTACAGGGGTAACGCACTGTATTAAATATGTAAGGTCTTCATGGGTTTGATTATAGAAACTAATAAAGTATTCTCCAAATAATGGGGTGGGGGGAGAAAACAGCTTTAAGTAATTCAAAACTTCTAGACATTTTTATTCAGAAAAAATGAGAGCTCTCTGTGTATCTTACATAAAGACTTACTGGTTAATGTTGTCCATGTGGGATTTGGTATGATTCACGTCTGGAGACCTAGTAAATGAGCATGAGGTCCGTGTGGGTGTTTGAACATATGGATTTGGCTCTGCTTTATCTCATTAGAAATTTAACTGGCCACCCTGGCCATCCCATACCAGCAGACGCTCTATGTACGTAGATCCCATGTCTGCTCACTGAGCCTCCATCCAGAGAGGGCCTGTGGGGAAGACCCCTCAGCTCTCCTCATGCCTGGAGTTCTCCTGTCCCACTGTGAGAAGGCACAACCCCTCCACCATCAGCCCCTCCTTCACTGGAGGACAAGTTCCTTGTGGCTCTGGCACTGGGCAGGACGGGGGATTCTGGAGCCAAGTGTGGCACAGCTGTTTTTATGGCTTCCTCTGGCTTTTATATGCAGAGAGAGTCTGATCTGAGCATTTCTATAGTCGTAAAATTCCAAAGTGAATGACTTCTCGTTTCCTAGTGCATTTTCTTTAGTTGTCTAATGCAGCCAAACTGCCTTTCTCGGGGCTCTTGTTGAGAGTCCCTTTCCTTGCTCTGCCAGGTTCTGTAAGAGCTGCCTGTGTTCTTTGGCTCTTGGTCCCTGTGACCCAAATACAAAACCAGAACTTGGCTCTGACTGTTCTTCAGCTTCTGCTCCCTCTGTACCCAGGGACCTTTGGGGTCACATTGAGCCACTCAGGTAGTCCAGGGCAGTTACCACACTAGGGTCCTGGCCTGGGTTGCATCTGCACATTGCCCCGTTAGAGAGCTGTTGTCATGTTCAAGGGATTGGGACTTGGACATTCTGGGAGGGGACACCGTCTGCCTAGTATGAAGTGCTCCAGGTCACTTCCCCTGCAAAGCAGAACCACACAGAAGCTGGGTTATGGAAACGTTCCTTCCTCTTGTCCTACTCACAGGTCTCTGGCTACCCTGGTCCACACGGACTCACAGCCATGGCTGGCAGCATCTACCCCGGCCCAGCATCTCTCTTGGACCAATCAGAATCGTGGAATCACAGGCCCCAGGAGATACCCCTGTGGCAGCCCAACATGGAGGTAAGTTGTGTTCTTGACTTAGGAAGTGAGACACCTCATATTTCTAAGTCTGACTGCTTGATTTTGAAGACTGAATTCTAAGATCAAGACTCCCCAGCTGCTCAAATGTTTTTTGAGGGTTTTGTGAGGGTTTTTTTTTAATTAAAAGAAATACGTGAGGGGAGTGCTCAGGTATTTATAGCACGTGCCTGAGGCCAGAGGAAAGGCAAGCTGACAGGACAAGTTCTTTGGGCTATGTTCATTTTTATTCAGTTTCCCTGATAAGACCCACTGTCCTATGATTGAAAATCATTCATTTGAGTCAGAGAAGATCCACAGCTGTCTGTAGTCCGTGTCCCTTTCCTGGGAGTGCTCGTGGTGAGCGGCTCTGTGATGCTCCATAACTTGTGTGTGTCATGTTCAGTGCTGCTGTCCACGTCCTGATTGTTTCTGCTTTTTGACTATAGGTAATGGTGCCTTCTTCGTACACATTCTCAGTTTATTTCTTTAGAAGAGAACCCCACAAGCAAGCAAGAAGTAGGTTTTGTTGCAAAAGTGACAGAGATACAGAGGTAGACTTCTTCAAAGAGGAGTGGCTCCAGAGCTGGGAATTCCAAGAGAATCTTTTTTTTTTCCTAATTTTTTTAAATTTGTAAATAGACACAATAACTTTATTTTATTTGTTTATTTTTATGTGGTGCCAGGGATCAAACCCAGTGCCTCACACATGCTAGGCAAGCGTTCTACCACTGATCCACAACCCCGGCCCCTCCAAGGGAATCTTTGACACACAGTAAACTTCAGCCTACAGGGACGAGGCTGGAGCATGAGAGGCCGTTTCCACCACCCTTGCTGCTTTGCTTTGGTTGAGAGCAGGGGCGTGCGAGCAGCCTCGTGAGAGTGGGTGTGTCGTTTCCATCTTTCCTGCCAGGACGCGGCATCGTTGGACCTGAGAGGAATGGGGCAGGTGTTGCCCGCCCACCTGATGGAAGAGCGACTGATCCGACAGCAGCAGGAAATGGAAGAAGATCAGCGCTGGCTGGAGAAAGAGGAGAGATTTCTGGTAATCATGTTTCAGAGCAGCTTCTTCCACTTTGAAATCCCATTAGGGTCTACTATATTGCATGTAATTGCAAAATTTTTACATTATCCAAAACAGACTTCATTTCATATCTGGTCCCTGAAATGTGCAGCAGTGAGTCATTTGCTTTCTCAGTTGCTCATCGAGGTCTGTCTGTAGGTTTCATTGTGCTCTGTGGCTTTTCATGACCTCACTGTTCACATCAGAGAATCCCACCTGGAGTCGGCTTGCAGTACTGCAGGGCGCCTGCGCTCCTCTGCAGCACGGCCTCACAGCCCTGCCCCAGATGCAGCTGCACTTGGGAATGAGGAATGTCTTCCTTCAGGTGACCTTTAGAAGTCCCTTGGGGACCAAAAGGAAGTGCTGGAGCAGAGAAACCTCTGTGTTCCTAGACACCAAGACTCATTCACTCACTCACTCGCTCATTTATTTATTTATTTATTTTAGTTGTCAATGGATCTTTATTTTTATTTATGTATATGCGGTGCTGAGAATTGAACCCATTGCCTCACACATGCCAGGCAAGCGCTGTAACACTGAGTCCAGCCCCAGCCCGACACCAAGATCCTTTTGGAACTTTCTAAGTTTTATTTTGAGACAGGGTCTTGCTGAGTTACTGAGACTAGCCTCAAACTTGCCGTCCTCCTACCTCAACCAAGTCGCTGGGATCTCAGGTGTGCACTGCCACATGCAGCTAATGTGAGGCCTTCTGACAGAGGCCTAGACCTGTGTGACCCTTGCTCTACCTAGAATGTGACCAGCCGTCCGGGCGGCTTTCTCTGTGTGTGCACAACCCCCATAACACCGGTGATACATCCCCAAGCACTCTAACGCAGGTCACGTGATGGCCTGTGTGGCTACCTGTGTTCTTCAGTGTGTCCCTCACCCTCCTTCAGCAGCAGGCATCTGAGTCTGCCCTGGCTCCACTTTTCTACCTTCTCCCAGGTGGCTTTACAGCTTGCTTTTAGGTGCTTCAACCATAATGGCTCCTCATTGTCATTGACCTTTTTTAGCTATGTATTCTCTGTGCAAAGGCCATTGATTTTTAGGAATATCCTGTCATTTTCTAGTAATGTATCTCAAGAAGGCCTTTATTGATTTCCTTGGATGCCCAGTTCAGTACTCATTACCTCATTCATATATATATATAAAATCTTCCTTTTTAACATTTTTTTTTTTTAGTTGTAGATGGGCACAATACCTTTATTTAGTGTTGTTTATGTGGTACTGGGGATCAAACCCAGTGCCTCACGCATGCTAGGGAAGTGCTTTACCACTGAGCCGCAACCCCAGCCCCTCCTTTATATCTTGGTTTTTGTCTCCTGAAGCACATGTTGCCTGCCTTTGAATTTAGGGGTTTTTCCTGCATTTTGCTTTTCTTTCTGAAGTTGTATGTTTTCTGTGATAGTTCTCCATGAAGTACAGTCTCGTCTCTGTGTCTTAAACCTACTACATCTTTCTGGAAGATTTCCCCTGTCCAATCATGCACACCTTTCCCTTGGGTAGCGCTCATCCTGTGTTTAGGAAGACGGATACCTGTCTGGGTCTAGGAGGTGATTCTTCCAGGATTTGCTTTGCTTAATTTGGAATTCCGTTGTGGTATTGATAAGTGAGAATGATTTATCCATGGTCATTGCTGTTTTCAAGATCCAAACCTTACTTGTTTCATGGAATGAGGTGAGTGCTCCCTATCCCATCTCAGATGTGGGCATCAGACTCCAGGTCTGCAAGTGAACCTGGAGCATTTCCAACAACTCTACTCCCCTGGCTCTTAGAAACTGAAGTGTTGTACTTTCTGTCTCTCCTCTCATGTTTGTGTCACATGCTTGGCTCGGATTCCTGAGTCCCTCCTGAGCTTCTCCTCTGCTGTCTACCTTCCAGCTGTCTGAGTCCGTCACCCCACTTCACCCTAGACCAGCCCTGCTCAGTGGGCTCCTTGCAGATTCCTGTGAGCAGCTGTCCCCTTACTCATAGACCTTGTGATCTGGTGGGCAGCGCTGGGTGGGTGGTCTGAAAAGAATCTGGAGGGGAGTGTCCCACTGACGGGCCAGCAGGCTCGATGGGCGGCCAGCTGGGGAGCCAGCCATTGGAGACTCTGAGTGGAGAGCAGGTCTGGGGTGAGGAAAGTCAGGACAGCTGAGACCCAGGGCATCCCACAGCTGGAAAAGGGCTGGGGCGGCCATGTGGTGGAGTGCTCCCATAGCACACTTGAGGCCTTGGGTTTATCCCTGGCACTGCAAAGAAATAAGAATAAATGAACTGAGTTGAAGTCTTCTCTGAAACATTGTCCCCTCCAGGCTATTTCCTACAGCGGTGCAATAGTATTTTTTTTTTAGTATATATAATTTTTTTTTAAATTGTTAATGGACACAATACTTTTATTTTGTTTATTTATTTTTATGTGGTGCTGAGGATCGAACTCAGTGCCTCGCATGTGCTAGGCCAGTGCTCCACCCCTGAGCCCCAGCCCCAGCCCCAGCCCCATGCAGTAGTATTTCTAACATGTAACCACCCCATCCAGTGGCTGCCAGGGTGAGGGCCTACTATTGCCAGCCCTGTGAGCCAGCCTCCTGTTCTTCCTTGTGAGGCCAGCACTAGTTAATTCTGTAGCAGCAGCCCCACGACTCCTGCCTGACATCCTGTGGCCTCAAGATGGTATGTCCTGAACCACCCTCCCTCCTGTCCCTAACTCAGAAAGAATGGTGCCATGTCTGAGAATCTACTGTCAAAATTTGAGTTCTGCAAACTGGCCATTTTGCCAGGTGCTGGCAGCAGGTGGGCCTCAGTCTGTAGAGAGGCCTTTCTTTCCTACCAAGCCCTGCTTGAAAACAGTAAATTGGCTTCTTTTTATTACTGTGTGCAGGGTGATTTTCTAATGTGGCACTATACTAAAAAAGGATCTTAACTTTAAAATGAGAGTTCTGTCCATATAAAGCCTGCTTTGTGTTCTGAGAAAAGAAATCAGTAGTGGAGAGCTGTTTTCCCCACACACAGCAGAGCAGTCAGTCCCTAAGAAGGAGGAGTGCCAAGATGGGAGCTAAAGAGTAGCAGTGGACGGTCACTGTCTGAGGACAGCCTCTGCACTGGCCACCGCCCTGCTGCAAACTTCCCGGTCTTCGGCTGCAGAGTGTAATCAGAGGAGAAAGGACTTTGAGCCAAAAGTCTAAAGTTTGTCATTTTCTAGAGTAATAGCAACATGAGCATGGAGTTTGTAGCTGTCCAGACCCAGAACAGCTGGAGCTCGGCTTACCCCTGGTGGGAACATGGCTGCTGCCTGTGACCCAGCATTCGCCCTTCTGACATGTGCCCAAGAGGATGAAGCACACATGCCTAGACATAAAAGAATGCTTCAGCAGCTTTTGTTTGTGGCAGCCAGGAACCTGAAACGACCTCCTCGCCTGCTGATGGCAGGACGGGTGAATGTTCATACCATGGAACTCTGTGCAGCACAAGGCTTCAAGTTCAGTCCACCAGAAAAGAGACAGGCGGGAGTGATCTCGGGCTGGAAGAGAGGTGTGGTCCCTGTACTAGGCCTAGGGCAGGGTGTGTGGGAGCCTGCTGATCCCTGCTTCATATCTTGATCCAGGTGGGTGTGGTTTGCACCTACAGAAACATGTGTTGAGCTATGCACTTTCTAATCAGATTTTTTAAAATATATTTTTATTAGTTGTAGTTGGACATTTATTTATTTATTTATTTCTATGGGGTGCTGAGGATCGAACCCAGGGCCTCGCATGTGCTAGACAAGGGCTCTACTGCTGAACCACAACACCAGCCCTATAATTAAATGTTTCTAAAGAGCATATATCTGCTAGGGAACATGGTCAGTTCATCCCAAACATTCTTTATTTATGTGATCTATTTGTATAAGATTTTTAAATATAAATCGTTGCGTTGTATCTTTGTACATCCTTAGAACTTACTGTAAGGGGTTGAGAGAGGACTTCACTCAGGCACAGAACAAACCCAGCATCTGTCTTTTTTTGTTTGTTTTTAAATATTTTTTTTAGTTGTATATAAACACAGTATCTTTATTTATTTTTATGTGGTGCTGAGGATCAGACCCAGTGCCTCACATGTGCTAGGGAAGCGCTCTACCACTGAGCCCCAACCCCAGCCCAGGATCTGCTTTTTGATTGGTTTTGCCTACATCACTCCAAACCCTGTGTGTGGCATCTTCCGTTCAGACGGGCCATGTATGAGGAAGGAACTTAAACAGGGGTTTCTGTTGGTTCCATGGAGCACTAGATGACTGTAAGTAAAAGAATAAATTAGACATACATGTTTTGTTTGCTTGATTGACTCCCACCTCCACTATTTAAAAGCTGTGTTGCCCCCAGCAACTAAATGTGCCTTTGCAAGCTTTGGACGCTCACCCGCCCTGCCATGTACTGCCTCAGCAGCAACAGCAACATAGAAGAGGGTTGGCCCATGTCCAGAGGGGCAGAGACAGTCGGCTCAAGGAGGAAGGCCCAGGACACTTTCCCCCACCAGCATCCAGGTGTCCTCAGAAGACAGGGCAGGAGGGGCAGAGTTCACCAACCGACAGTTTTCTGCCTATGGGTGGGCAGAGTTTTGACATGCTGCCATATGGTGTGGCACCAGAAGAGAAGCCTTCTATGCGGAAGCTCACATTGAGACTCCCAAGTTCCCAGACCTACGCCCAGCAGCAATAATTCCTTTCTTAGAAATCCATCCCAGGAAATCATCAGGGACTTAGTCACAGATCTGTCTTTGTAGAAGGGACATGGGCCCAGGCCACACTGCTTGTCCTGAACTGATTTGAACCCCGCCCTGACCTAGAGCCCATGCCCAAGGCTGCCACTTTGTTTTACAGGCCATTTATTGAGGATGAGGGCTGCCGAGCCCCTCAGTTCTATTTGAGTTTGCCTCATGCAGGTTTCTACACAAAGGCTACAAACCACTGATGTGACTTCACCTTGTGAGCATACGTTAACTCGTGATAACTTCTTCCAGGGAAGAGTAAATGGATTTTATCTTTCCCTTTGGTTTGCCTTATAGTTTCTTAATTTCTCTATGGAAAGTGTTTCTCATTGTTGCTTCAGTAATAGTCAAGCCTGACTCCCCCACCGCTAGGATTCCAGCGTGTCCCCTAGAAGTTCACCTGTTGGACCTGAATTCTCAGTATGAAGTGTTGGGAGAGGCCAATACCAGGGTATCGGGCTGTGGGGACGGAGCCCTCCCCAGTGAGTGAGCACCTTTCCCTAGAGATTGGCTCAGGTATCCAGGAAGTAGGCCCCTTCTCCTCTGCCTGTACCCAGCTGCCCTCCACTGTCCACCTTGAGTCGAAGCAGCACCAGCAACAAGCTTTCTCACTGTGTCCTGGGGTTTGGACCCAAGGCTTGCATAAAGCTGCCTCTGTTCCTGCAACCCGGACACTGCCCATGCCTCACCAGCTGGGATGGCTGATTGGATTAAGGTGGCTCTTGTTACATTTCCTTGCTGTGTATCTCTTCAGGGGGGTACTCCTGCTAGGAAGTCTGTCCTACAGGCCAGGGGCTGCCTACCTCTGAATTCTCTCCTGGGTGCATTTCCCACCCAGCCACAGTTGCTCTGTCTTGAGAGGTGGTCCACTCTGCTCTGCCTCTGTGTGGCACTGGATTTATAGATCTGTGACATTTGCAGTAAGAACTTTCTTTTAAAAGTACCAGTGAGTGAGGCTGGACTGTGGCTCAGTGGTAGATTTCACCTAGTGTGGGTGAAGCACTGGGTTCAATCCTCAGCACTGCATAAAAATAAATAAATAATAATAAAGGCACTGTGTCCACCTACACCTGAAAAAAATATTTTAAAAAAAGTACCAGTTAGTGATATTGTATGTAGCACATGTAAACATAGAAGTAATTTCACCTATAGAGTTTTATTAAGTTTCGCTTTTCAGAGTTCAGAAGTATTTATTCAGATCTTTTCTGGTTTCCTTATGGACACAGTTGTATCGTGCTTTGTAGAATTCTGCTTTCTTGACACTCATTGAGGACTTAGGTCATTTCCCACCTACATTTACCTATGATTTTTAGATGCATATTTTCCAATAAAAATATCATAATTTTTACAGCTTGGAAGTTACCTCTGGCAGCAATGTGAGCGTGTGCACCTGTGAGGTGTGGGGCTGGGTGTGGTCTCATTCTGCTAAATGGACACACAGCGAGTCACATGTCCTTCTGCCCTTTTGGCTCACTCTTAGGGCTTTTTGTCCTATTTCCTCGGGCCTCTGATTATTAAAAAGTTTTTCCATAAGTGAGTGTAAGTGTGTGTGCCTGGGTTCAGGGGTGACACACAAGCTTCACATCTGCCACAGGACAACCCTGGGGATCCTTAACAATGCTCATCAACCCAGAGTCCTCTCTTTGTAATTAGCCACCAGCTGCTCCTTTACCCATGTCCTACACTACCAGTTCCCAGACCTCAGCGTCTGTCACAAGCCTCCTGCACTCCCCCTCATGCATAAGAGGAGGGAAGTGGGCAGAAGACAAGTGGGAGCCTGTCCTGGAAGTTCACTTCCAGCCCACAGTGGAAACAAGCCTGACTGATGGGTGCAGAACTCGAGGCTCTCTCAGGACTTGGAAGCACAGACCCTGTGGAAGGAAACCACTTCAACTGGAGAAGGCCAGCAGTGGGGAAGGAAGACTGTCTGGGAATTGGCTCTGTAAAGAGGTTGGCTACATCAGAGGACAGTTATATTGTAGAAGGAAGGAATCTTAGCCAGACCTGGTGGCACACACTTGTAATCTCAATGGCTTGGGAGGCTGAGACAAGAGCCTCAGCAACTTAGCAAGACCTTGTCTCAAAATAAAAAACAAAACAGGCCAGGGATATGACTCGGTGGTAAAGCATCCCTGGGTTCAGTCCCTGGTACCAAAAAAAAGAAAAAGGAATTTTGAGCAGAATCTGCCAGTGGGTTTTCAAATTTTAAAATAGACTTATTTCTGTTTTTATTTCTGTAGAAACCTGATGTGAGGCTATCTCGAGGCAGCATTGACAGGGAGGACGGGAGTCTTCAGGGGCCGGTAAGCTGGGGCTCATAGTGTGTGGGCATCCACCTTAATGATACCTCTGATGTCAGACAGAATAATCAATTCTACAAGTAAAGTGAACATTTCACTAGGATTATTAAGACATTCTCTGTACAGAATTCTTATGCAGATACTTAAGTTTTCTGCCCATTATTGTCACAGGCCTTTTAGTAGTAAGCCACAGTCCCTGTAATCTTAAAAAGTATGTACACATGTACTATAGTTACATACGATTTCCATTTGCTCAACGTTTTATATACTACTATTGCTGGTTATAAAAGTTGTCATAGTCACATAAAACTTATTCAAACAAGATTTGTTTTCCCCCTTGGGGGTGTTAGGGAAGAGATGCCTGAAATTCTCTTTAAAGAACTAATTTAAGGGTTGAGATTATGGCTCAGCAGTAGAGCGCTCGCCAAGCACAGGCGGGACCCAGGTTCGATCCTCAGCACCACATAAAAATAAACGCATTGTGTTGTGTCCATCTACACCTAAAAAATAAATATTAAAAAAAAAAAAAAAAAGAACTAACTAAAAGGCTGAGGCTGTAGCTCAATGGTAGAGTGCTTGCCTTGCATGCATGAGACAGTGGGTTCAATCCTCAGTACCACATAAAAATAATAAATAAATAAAATGCAGATATTGTGTCCATCTACAACTAAAAAAATAGTTTAAAAAATGAAGAACTAACTTGGAAGGGCTGGGGTTGTAGCTCAGTGATAGAGTACTTGCCTAGCAAGAACTAACTTAGGATTTAGTTCAAATATATTTAAAGCCAGCTAGAAATACTTCCTGGTGTCAGGAGGGAAGTAATTTAAATCATTAGGATTTGCACCTTCTGGTGTCTAATAAATGCGTACACTTCTACCCCAGCAGGTGAATTCTTCTGGCCCTTTTGAGGTTCTGGGTAGAAAGAAACCTCTGAGTTGACTTTCAGACCTGCCACTGTCAGCACTTACTTTAAATTTCTGAAACTTTTTTTCTCCTCTTGTTGTACTAAGGATTGAACCCAGGGACACTTTACCACTGAGCCACATCCCCAGCCCTTACTTCATTTTGTTTGGTTGTTTGGCTTTTTGAGACAGAGTCTGGCGAAGTTGCCCAGGCTGGCCTTGAACTTGCATGTGCCATAGTACCTGGCCTAAACATCATTCTATGTATATAAATTACATCCAGTTTTGAGATAAGAGGTGCTGAGGATTGTCTGGGCCTTTCCGTGATAAGCTTCTCTGAGTAGCTACAGCACCATCTTAATCAGAGTCCTGGGTTCTCAGCACCTAAGTGCATGGTACGGAACCACCCTGGCCTATGCCGTAGCTTCAGCATCCCCTAAGCTCTGATGCCAAGGTCACCCATTACCAACCCGCAAAGCTTTGGCATTTTTCCTATCAGTGTATCAGCTCAGGCTGGTAGCCTGAGTCTGACGTTCCTCAGCTCATAAGCAATGTTACATCACCCACCAAGCTCCTTTCCTAGGCTGAAAAGACTCAAGTACAGCAAGCATTCTTTCCTGACTTGTGAAAAACTCTTCAAGGACTCACTAGTGAGAGAATTGCTAATAGGATATTTGTTAGAAAAGAAAAATTCTTTGTGTTCCAAAATGTGGCACATAGAAGATACTCAGAAAATACGTAGAACAAATTAATGAGACCTGGATAGGAGGATAACTCAGAAATGCCATATTCATAAGAACTGTCAGACAAACGTGACAGGCCCACTTGCAATGTCATGATTTTCTGCATGCCAGACGTAGACAGTAGTAAGAGTGCTTGGTGCTTAGTACTGCAAAGTGCTGTGTGGAATGGGCTCCACGTGATACTCATATTACTGTCAGGCTCTGTTGTCACCTATATTCCACAGATCCGTAGACTTGGCTACTGCAGAGGCCTCCTTGCAGTGCCAGACCCAGGCAGTAAACTCCTGTGGCCACCTGGCAGAGCAGGCTTGTCTTACTTCCCCATCACCACATTGGTCCTTTTCTAAAGACAACGTTTAGTTTGGTGCATTTCTTGGAACTCTTTAGCTTTAACTTTTTTTTTTAATATTTATTTTTTAGTTGTAGTTGGACACAACACCTTTATTTTATTTATTTTTATGTAGTGCTGAGGATGAAACCCAGTGCCTCGCACATGCTAGGCAAGTGCCCTACCACTGAGGCATAACCCCAGCCCCTAGCTTTAACATTTTTGAAATGTTCTGAGAGAGCTGTTTGGGTGAAAAGCAGCACAGCTTGTAAACGAGTGTGCTGTATCCAATAGTCATTAACGTGTAACTAGTGCATGCACATAGTTAATAGTCATTAATGACTAGCTGATGGAAATTAACCCCTTCTGTGTGCATGACAAACAGAGTCACATCTGCACCTTTAAGATGGCCTGTGAGTCAGTAGCGTACTCAATTTGTGACTGCAGCCCAGGACTGGGTACATCACTAGTTTCAGAGAAGAAGTATACTGAGGCCCGGCAGGCCCATGACACGTGGCCCAATAGATGTGTGGAACATGGGCTTCCCTTCCAGTGCCTGCCCCTCCAGAGTGGAACCTGCTTGGCTGCACACAGGCACATTTGTTAGGTAGTTCCAGAATGTTTCAGAAATCGAGTTTTCTAGTTAATTGAGCTTGGTTGTCACCTAATATCAACCAGAAAGCTTGCTGAGTTGAAAGCCTTTTAGGAATTGTGTAGGTTTTACCGCCAAATCTTGGTGCAGCACAGCCAGCAGGCACTGCATCATGTTTTAGCCATATTAACCACCATACCCAGCCCAGGCTCCTCTGGCTACCTGGCACCTCGCTGCTCCCCAGGCGCGCTCTCTGTCCTCCCTCCTTGCACGTGGCTTGGCTCCTACCTAGGATGAGCTTGGCCATCACAGCCATCTCCAAGCCTGAGCTCAGGACTCCCCTTCCATTGGCCCTGTGCTGTCTGGAGTGGGCACAAGTGTCTCTCTCCACCTCTCTGTCAATTTCTGTTTTATTCAACTTTTTCACCACTGTGACTAAAGGGACTCAACCAGAGCAATTGTAGAGAAGGAAAAGTTTATTTGAGGGCTCACGATTTCAGAGGCCTTAGTCTTTAGAAGGCTGGCTCCATTTCTCAGGGCTCAAGATGAGGCTGAACATCATGGTGGAAGAATGTGACAGAAGGAAGCAGCTCACATGATGATCAGGAGGCAGAGAGAGAGGTCTCCACTTGCCAGATACAAACATATACCCCAAAGCCACGCCCCAATGCCCACCTCCTCCAGGAACACCCTGCCACTTCATGTGCCACTCAGTTAATCCCTATCAAAGGATTAAATAACTGGTTTGGTTAAGACTCTCACAACCCAATCTTCTCCTCTCAACCTTCTTGTATTGTCTGACACCTGAGCTTTGGGGGGACACCTCATATCCAAAGCATGGCAGCTCCACAAGGGCAGGAGCTCTGGTTTGTACCCAGTATAGTATCAGCTACAAAGCAGGGGCTCAGTACCTGCTAGTTGAAGAAATGCAAGCGTGGAAATGGCATGTAAGGTAGAAAGCACGTTGCTTAGGACCCCTCCCCACCTCCAGGCTCTGAGAGTTTGCAAGGTTGGGAACCAGGGTGGGAACTAGGGATGCAACTCAGCAGTAGAGCTTGTGCTGGGCACAGTGTCACAGCACCTGCAGTCCCAGCTCCTGGAAGGCTGAAGCAGGAGGATCACTTGAGCCTACTAGTTCAAGGCCAATCTTTCAACATAACATAGTAAGACCCTGTCTCTTTAAAAAAGAAGAAGAAAATGTAAGTAGTTAAATTAGTTAGTTAAAACAGGATAAAATCAGGGTGATAAATGGCAGGTTGAAAACAACTGTGATTCTGGGGAAAATAGCCATTTTAATTATATGTACTGTTTCATTGTCCTGGTATTTTAAAGAAGTAGCTCTTTTCAGTAGAAAACAAAGCATATTAAATTATGTGTATGTATCATTATTTTAAAATGAGCAAGAAAAGTTTTTCTTTTACAAGGTTGGGTATGGTTCTAAAACTTTTTTTCCCCCCCCATTTTAGTTATAAAACTCATTACTTTAGGTTGGCTGTACACCTCTAATCCCAGCAGCTCAAGAGGCTGAGGCAAGAGGATTGTAATTTCAAGGCCAGCTTCAGCAACTTAGCAAGTCCCTGCCTCAAAATAAAACATGAAAAATATGACAGGGCCTGGGGACGTGGCTCAGTGGTTAAGCACCCCTGGTTCAATCTCTACCAAAAAAACAAGAGACTCATTACTTTAAATGCAGCGTCAGGCATAAAGGCCTGGAGAAGGACTGGTTTCCATTAGAGGCCTCCCCTTACCCAGTCCCTGTTTCCTTGCCTTGTCCTAGAACTGCTGGAGGGTTAAACCCGTTCTGATGTACACAGCGCTTTAGGGACATTGACAGCATGAGCCCATGGGGACTGCCAAACACCCCAGTGCTACCAGGTCCCTATCTCTTCATTGTTGATTGCACCCTTACTGTAATCAGAGGGGGTAGAAGGACACTGAGCATGGGATAAGCAGTGGACACATGCTGGGAGGGCTGGGATTTCAGACCTTTGATGGTAAACTAGAGACATCCGTGTAGGAAAGTTCTAGATCTGTATGAATACCAGAGTACCCCAAGGTTGCCTTTGTTACAGCCCTCCCCACACACTCTATTGGTGTGAGGTGTCACCTGCCTATTTCCCCACACCACTGAGCCCTGCAGGCAGCTGTCTTGTTCATCTCAATGCCCCAGTATCTGGCAGAGTTCAGGGGGTGGATGAATAGGGAGGAGAGTGGGATGGTTCTTTTCCCTGTATACACCAGTACATTGACTCAATTTTCCTTTCCCACAGACTGGAAACCAACACATCTATCAGCCTGTGGGCAAACCAGGTCAGTGAAGAAATGAGTTGTGTGTCAAAAGCTTGTGTAAGTAGCTGGGTATAGTGACACACACTTGTAATCCAGCCACTCAGGAGGCTGAGGCAGGAGGATCCCAAGTTCAAGGATGGCCTCAACAACTTAGGGAGACCGTCAGCAACTGAATGAGACCCTGACTCAATTAAAAAATAAAAAGTGCTGGGGATGTGTCTCAGTATTTAAGTATCCCGGGGTTTAATCCCCAGTACCAATTTTTTTTTTTTTTTTTTTTTTTAAATACTTGTGTAATTGGCAGCAGGTTGGAAGTATTGTAGTGTCACAGCTGGGGGATGTCCACAAGATTTTAAGCCTTCCCCCAACAGATCACAGCAAGTTTGGTTCTGACCACACTCAGCCATGGCTGGAGTCCTGAAAAGCAGAATCTAATACTGTAACACCACAGGCCCTTAAGACAGGAGCCTGGTGCCAGTGCAGGGCATTGGCTTTCTTCATTACCCTTCATACAGGAAGTCCTTCTGCTTTGCCAGATCCTGCGGCTCCACCAAAGAAACCTCCACGCCCCGGAGCCCCGGGCCACCTGGGCAGCCTCGCCAGCCTCAGCAGCCCTGGGGACAGCTACAACGAGGGTGTCAAGGTAGGCATCAGATGTGGGCATGCTCTGTTCTTAGGGTTGGTTGGATCCCTTTGTCCTTGGAAGATGACGTCTGTGTCATACAGTGGGTGGGGACAGCACAGAGGGGACCATAAGGGGCCAGAACTCAGCTGGTTCTGAATCCCCTGAGAGCCAGGGAAGTGTTACCCAGACTCTCCCAGTTTTCTCTCATGATTGACTTTAGGGACTTTATGACTTTGTGCCTACATCTTCCTCCCATGAGGCACAACGTGTCTGTGGAAATCAAGTGTTGATTTGATTTTTAAAAATCAAGTTTTATAAATTAATTAAGCCATGATACCAGGGGTATGTGAGGACCTGTGGGCCCACTTCGCCTCTAGGCTCATAATCGTGGTGTTAAGAAAAGCCTGTTGTCCATCCAGAGTCAGGATGGTTCCCTGTGAGAACAAGTAGAGCCCCCCCTACCCTCCCGCCAAGAGCAGCACTGGCCCAGGCACAGCATGATCTTGCCCTTGATTGGGCTCATCAACTCTGCTCCTGGCTTGGAGCTGGAGCTCACCATCTGCTCTCCCAGGCCCCCTGCCAAGCCTGAGAGCTGGGGCAGCTTTCCTCACCTGGATAGGGAGCCCCTCTGGCCTGGCCACTTAACAGCCACTTCTCCAAACACGCCCCATATATTGACCAGAGGCACACCATTCCCATGATCTGACTCTCTGGAATCGGGTCAGGTGGTGGTTTGAGGGGCAGAGCTCTTCCCGACCTGGTGTTGCATGAACACATGGTACACCTCAAAGTAGACAGCACCCCAGGTCAGTGCACATGAGCTGGGCAGAGGTGATCTTTGCTCCACACACTCACTGCGATGTCGGAGTGCCTTCCCCCAGCCAGGTGAGGTTCAGACCTTGTCCACGTTCATCCTCGTGTTGGCCTCACACAGGGGAAGCAGCGTGCTTATGGTCATTGGCTCTTGTGGCTGGGCTGGCATGCTGCTGCAGATCCATGGACTGCACACCTCTGCACTCTGCTCCAAGGTGCCACCTGTAAAGCTGCTCTAGCTGACCCCTTGTCAGGTATATGCATTCTTATCCCAAATCCCGGAAGAGAGCACGCATCCTCACCAGGGGTAGGGTTGTCCTGTCCATCCAGGAGGTGACCAGAGAGTGAGTGGGCTGGTGCTGGCGGGTGTAGCCTGCTTCCTGAGGGGTGTCCAGCGAGCACAGCTAGGCCCACGCTGCCCTGAAACCGATGAATATCCAGAGCACCTATTGGCCAGTCATCAGCTCCTGGGACCCTGCAGCTTCCCAGTGCTGTCAGGGACATGTGGGTATTCTCAGAAGCAGCAAAAACATGACCCTTCCTAACACAGGTTTTTTAAGTAAAAATTTGAAAAACAGAATGGTAAAAAATCAGGTTAGTGAGCTTATTTTCATAAGCCACAAGACAAGGCTTGCACAATGACTTGTGCTCCAGTGAAAAACCAACGTTAGAAGCTGATGAGGAACCCCAGAACCCTGACACACCTTCGTGTCCCACACCTGGAATAACCTCGTGAGTAAACTCTTGGTAGAAACAATATGCTTGGGCTGGGGTTGTGGCTCAGCCGTAGAGTGCTTGTCTCGCACACGCTGGACCCTGAAATCGATCCTCAGCACCACGTAAAAAATAAATAAGTGAAATAAAGCTATTGTGTCCAACTATAAAATAAATATTTAAAAAAATTTTAAAAAAGAAACAATATGCTTAAAGTACATGAAGATTTTGCGGGCTGGGGTTATGGCTTAGTGGTAGAGTACTTGCCTAACACGCATGAGGCACTGGGTTCGATCCTCAACACCACATAAAAATAAAACAAAGATTGTGTCTACCTAAAACTAAAAAATAAATATTTAAAAAAAAAAAAAAGATTTTGAAGTGATTAGTGTGGAGCCCATGCCCGTTCCTTTATTATCTCTGTAGTAAGTGTAGCCTGAAAGAATGATTGTTTTGATACAGAAATGTTTGCCTTTAACTAGGTATAACTAAAATAATCATTCAAATAACATTTAGCCAGAAATCGTCCCAGTTTTCCTTGGCAGCTTTGCTCTTGTGGCTTGGTTTCAGTGCTGGGGTCAGATCCCAAGCCCTATGCTGTCTCACTCCCCCTGGAGCCTCCCTGGAGCTCTGGGCTTCAGGCACCACCCTGAGGGGTGGGATTGGCCACATGGCTGGGGGACAGTTGATTGTCATTAGTTGCCGGACAAGGAGTTTCCAAGTTGTTGAGCTCTAGAAAATAGGAAACCAAGAACAGATGTTTCTCTAAACTTCTGGAGTGTCACCATGCGTGGTTAAAAGCACCATAAGAAGGGAAACCTTAAGCAGGTCACAGTCATGGCAGGCCTCCCCCAACCCCTAGAATTGCAAACCATCCTGTTTCTTGGTGGAATATGCCCTTGGCACCCTCCCGAAGAAGCCATGTGTCTTCCTGTGTGATGGAGTCTATACAGGCCATCCTGGGAAGATAAACAAGACTGCACTGAGGTTCTCACTGCAGAAAGTAAAAGGCAGCCAGCCCTTTTTTTTGAGTGATGAGTTCTAGAGTTCTTCTTTCCAGTGCACATGGAAGTACCAGAGAGAAGTGCATCTCTACACTCAGGTGCTGGGGACATGTTTCTTTTGAGATACTTTTAAGAAGAGGAGAAGGTGCTTGTTTCTCCCATTCACTGCCTGTTCAGGCAGAGGACAGCCGGGGTGGTTTTACTCAAAGTCATGGAACCTTCTCTTAAGAATTGGTTCAAGCTGGGCACGGTGGTACATGCCTGTAATCCCTGCAACTCAGGAGGCTGAGGCAGGAGGATCGCAAGTTCAAAGCCAGCTTCAGCAACTTAGCAAGATCCTGTCTCCAAAGAAAATATTAAAAGGGCTGGCAATGTGGCTCAGTGGTTAAGTGCCCTGGGTTCAGTATCCCCGATATTAAAAAAAAATAATAATAATAGTTGGTTCAAAAGAAGGATATTCTTTATACTTTGATTTTTAAAATAAGCTCCTGAGGTCTTTAAGCACACCAGGAATCTTTCTTGGGGGCAGTGTAGCTAGATGCCAGTGCAGATTCTCAAGGATGCGAAGGGCCAGGTGTGGGAACCAGATCCCTGGGAAGTCAGGTGGCATTTCCAGTGATGAAACGTCCCCATCTCTTATGAAGAAGCCTCTTTCTGCTGATCCTTGCACGGCTGCCACTTGTCACTCCCAGGCTTTGCACGCTGTCCTGCTCACTTATCTCATGGGAACAAGCGTGGTGCATGGCAAGGCTCTAAGTCACCCACTGTGCATGGAGCCCCCAAAAGACAAGGTGGCTCCTGATGGCAGAGAACAAGAGCGGGTTGCAGCCACAGCTGGTACTTTGCGTCCTGCTCATGTGTTTAGGGAGGTGTCTGCTGCTTGATTAATGTTGTTTTTCTTTTTTTCCCTTCCTCTGATAAATTCCTCTAACTTTTCCTCACCTCCGTTGGACAATAGCCATGGAGGGTAAGCACATTGTGTCTGTGTGTCTGTCCAGCTTGCTCTCTCACACCCAGCTCCCTGCATGTGACCCTGAACTAGCAAGTGGGAAGCCTGGTGCAGGAGTCGGGGGGCACTTTTGCTTGGTTCTTTGTCTCTCATGACTGACAAATGCCAGAAACAGCACTGATGTTGGCTGAAAACTGAGAGGTGGGCACCCTTGCAATAGATGAGTTGTTCCTGCCCTTTTCTGTCCTGTACCCAGACTTGGGAACAAATGACTAATTCTGTTCCAGTCTCCTTGGGCAAGGTACCCAAGAGTTCAGAAACGGGCAATTATAGCCTTAGACTGAACACCAGCAGAAGATCACAATCGAATGACTGTCATATACAGCAATTTAGTCTAAATGCACGTCCGTTGAGTGTGCGCACACACACACAGTGTCTTTCTTGTAGTTAGTATAACTCTAAATGTTTTGGTGGTGCTGGGGATTGAGCCCATGGCTTTGTGAATGCTAGGCAAGTGCTCTGCCACTGAACTACACCCCAGCCCCCAATTTGAATTTTTAATTACTTTGGTGGAGGCCACACATTATTCCACCTCTAGTACTCAGGTTATCTGGGTGACATGTAATATCTCCTGTGTCCTTGGGTGGGCATATGTACCTCAGGGCTTCATCTGCCCTTCATCTGGCCCACTAGAGAAGCTGAGGCTCAGAGCCCAGATTCACCCAGCAGGCAGCCGAGAGCTGTGGGAAGCAGCTTCCCCACCACTGGGATTTAGGAGTGTCCTGCAGGTAGGTAGTGACCACTGGGGATGAACTCCCGTGTGAGAGCGGGTCTCTCCTAGGCAGCTCAGCTGAGCCACAAGCCTCCTTACTGCAGAACTTGAAGCCAAGGAAATGCTCGGTACTGGTGTAGAGTGTTCCATCATTAGCAAGTGACTTTCTGTGGAACTTGGTGAATCCTCAGATGTAAAGTTTGTGGGTTGTTTCTCTTGTGGTGAATAATCTTGGGGTGTAGGGACACTGAAAGAATCTGGGAGTTTAAGTACAGTATATGTCATTCCATTTCATTTCCTTTAGCTGAGCTCAAAATTAGAAAAAAATATATTGCCAACTCTATTTGTCACTTGGGTGAATCACTTTACTGTCTCAAACTGAACTATATCCTATACAAACAAGAAAATCCATTATCTTCTGCAGTCTGCTTTGAAGTCTAATTTAGCTGTGGTGGTATCACTCCCACTGCTGGAGAGCAGAAGAATGATCTGCTTCTTTATTGTCAGCTTCAACCCCAGGAAATCAGTCCCCCTCCCACTGCCAACCTGGACCGGTCCAATGACAAGGTGTATGAGAACGTGACGGGCCTGGTGAAAGCTGTCATTGAGATGTCCAGTAAAATCCAGCCAGCCCCACCCGAGGAGTACGTCCCTATGGTGAAGGTGAGTGCAGCCTGCGGTGCACAGAGGCTGTGGTGGAGCTGCTAGATGTCTCTGACATCTCCCAGAGTCAGACCTGATGCTTAAGAAGGTGTGAAGGCACCACATGGTGAGGACTCTGGAGACAGCCACCATCATTGTGAATCCCTGCTTTTCTCATGTCAGTAAACATTAGGATGGTAGGGTCCTGAAGGGATACCATCTTTCACAAATGTAGTCTCTAGTTAAAACAGCAGCTGCAGGTGGGTACTGTCAGCATGAGGCATTTATGTAAAGTTGAAGAACATGCAGGAGCATCCTGAATGAGTCCAAGAAGTACATGGGATCAGTAATTATCCAGTTGAGATACTGTCCCTCTGAGGAAGAGGCAAAAGAGTATATGGACAATTTATCTGTGTTGGTTTTCTTAAACTAAGGGGTGAGTATGTGTGTGTGTTTTTAATTTAAAAAAATAAAAGAAGGAAGAGACCAAAATAAAAATACTGTGGACTATTTTTCAAGTTGTGCTCAGTGGAATGGGATCCTGGGAGGTAATAACAGATGCTGTCCAAACAAGACTGCCCAGGAGGCTCAGCATTGCTCCTACCAGACCCTCATGATGGCACACAGGTGCTCAGAAGTGTCCTACAGTTCAAAGAGTGCCATCAAACTTAGCTTTAGTGTTTTTAAAAGGTGCTGGCACGTGCTTTTTTTTTTTTTTTCTCCGCCCCACGGTGGTAAGTTTATCATCCTTGGAGTCAAGTATGGTGGTGCACACCTGTAATTCCAGCAGCTGAGGTAGAAGGATTGCAAGTTCAAAGCCAGCCTCAGCAATTTAGCAGGGTTCTAAGCAATTTAGCAAAACCCTGTCTCTAAATAAAATATGAAAAGTGCTGGGGATGTGGCTCAGTGGTTAAGTGTTCCTGGGTTTAATACTCAGTACAAAAAAAAAAAAATTACCATCCTTGGGGATTAAAATGGAACAAACTTTTACATGCATTGATGAATATGTCAAAATCAATGCCGCTATTACATTTAACTATAGTATATGTGTAACTAGACAGCACTAGTAGGAACATTTCTTAAAATATATCATCTTCCCTCCCCCCACATCTGTGACATTAAGCACCTTCAGGCTGCTGAGAACCGTCACCAAGTCCAGCTCAAGCACTTTCTCTTTGCAAAACGGAAATTTCATCAGTTAAGCTCTGACTCCTCATTCCCCCTCCTGCTCAGCCCCTGCAAGCCTCAGTTCTACTTTCTATCTTTGAATCTGGCTGCTCAGGGTCTGTCACATAGTGAGAGTCCTGCAGCATTTGTCCTATTGGGACGGGCTTCTGTAACTGGGAAAGATGTCCTCAAGGCTCCTCCCTGTGGTAGCATGTGTCTGAGTCTCCTTCATCTCTAAGGCTGAGCAGCATCCTGCTGTACGTCCATACCAGCTTTGGTTCATTCATCTGTCCATCTGTGGACACTTGGTTGCTTCTACCTGGTGGCTCTCATGAATAGTGCTGCGGTGCACGTGACGTACAGGTAGCCCTTCGAGGCTCTGTCTTCAGTCCTAGTGTGCAGTCAGAAGAGGAGTTCTGGCAGGCACAGCAGCCTTGTTGTGATCCTCCCAGATCCTGCCACCGCACTTCCCAGCAGCTGCACCTCTGGGTTCCCCACAACCTGTGCGAACTCCAGCTGCTCCGCCTCTAAATTGCATGGGTGGGTGACTCTCTGTTTTGTTGTGTGATTGCTTTGAAGAAATGTCTATTTAGTTCCTTTGCCTGTGCTTTAATTAGGTTTTTTGTTGTTGATTGTGGGGTCAATACCACTTTTTTAGTGTACCTATTGGCAATCTTTGTAGAAATACCATCAATGTAGAAAAGCTGCTTAAAAGCTGTGATATTTCTTGATCATTCTGGTTCGTGTTTTAAACTGTGCTCCTGTGACTATCATACTCAAAGTTCTTCTGGGAGAACATGATGAACCCATAGCCAAGTTTGGAAAAACAACTCAGCAGTAAACAAAAGCACTCAGGATTTCAGACATGTCAAGATTGTGCATGTTGATTTAATAGCAACTTCTGCTTTAACTATCAGTCATGTAGTCTGTGGGATGCTCCATTCATCACCTGGCCACTTAGAGTGGTGGTCCTGTAGGACTATATGCTCAAGTGGTACTGCAGCCATCCTAGTTGTGCAGGCAGATGCCTTGGTGTTCGCATGATGACAGTTGCCCAGCAATGCCCGCCCAGAGCATCTCCGTTTTAGGTAAAGCCTGACTGCTTTGGTCAGATGATTCCACTCCTTTTGCATGCTGACCCAAGTATTTTCATACTGATCTTATTCATATTACATATTGACATACTGGTCATACATCTTGGATCCTCATAAGAACAGCAATACCAATAATTCGAAATTTAGCCTGGCACTGGCACAAAAACCTGTGATCCCAGTGACTCGTGTGGCTGAGGCAGGAGGATCGCAAGTTCAAGGCCAGCCTAGGCAACTTAGAGAGACCCTGTCTCAGTAGAGGACTAGGAAGTGGGAGCAGTAGCACACGCCTATAATCCCAGCAGCTCGGGAAACTGAAATAGGATCACGAGTTCAAAGCCAGCCTCAGTAAAAGCGAGATGCTAAGCAACTCAGTGAGACCCTGTCTCTAAATAAAATACAAAATAAGGCTGAGGATGTGGCTCAGTGGTTGAGTGCCCCTGAGTTCAATCCTTGGTATTCCCTCCCCCAATAAAAAAAAGGACTAGGGATATAGCTCAGTGATAGAGTGTCCCTGGGTTCAATACTAGAAAAAAAAATGAAATTTAAAATGATGATGTTCTAAGAAGTTAGCCCTTGTCTTAACAACTCACATGGATTATAAGAATGGATGGAGTGTGGAGTGGAAGATTCAAAATGGCCTCTAGATTCCATGCACACACATGAGAAAGGTGGCATCTGCCTCACCTGTGTGGGCACCATCGTCTTCCTGGGTCAGGTGGGAACAGGGCATGCCTGTTTCTTAGCGTCTATGTGACGCTTCTTACCTGGGCAACTGCTCTGGTACATTATGGTGAAGGACAGACAGAGATCTGCATCTTTACAGAGGGAAGGAGCCTTGTAATGTACTAGATGGGGTCAGTACTAAGAGAAAGAAGTGCAGAATTTTTTCTTAAAACTGTTAAAAACTGTGTGTGTGTGAGTGTGTGCGCGTGCGCGCGCAGGTTCGTGCACACTTCACTTGCAAGGTGAAATGGTCAGTGCCACCATGAAATTCCTATGTGCTCTAACCCTGGCCGTGGTTTTGTCTGTTAGGAAGTTGGCTTGGCCCTGCGGACACTATTGGCTACCGTGGATGAGACCATTCCTGTCCTCCCAGCCAGCACACACCGAGAGGTAGGCACAGCACTGGAAGGGTCATGTGCGGGGCCACACACAGGAACAGCTGTGGTGCTGAAGGTCCCACATCAGGACCAGCAGAGGCTGGCTCTAGGTGCTCCACAGGTGATAGCCCTTCTGTTCACTCTGTCCCCTGCCAAGGTCAGCACCTGCTCAGGCTCAGAGCCATTGTGTGAGGCCTTCCCCTGAGGAACAGGGTGGCCGTGAGCACTCAGGGAAACTGCTGTCGGTGCTGAGCTCCTCCAAAGTGGGAGACGCATTGCCACTTCCTTTGAATGCTCCTTCCCAAACCTTGGTATTTGCAAGTGATACTGGCTTTCCCTTTAAAATATTCTCTTAAATTAATAAATTTTACTAAAAGTTTTTAAGGGACCAAAGTTCACCCCAAATATTGTCTCCTAGCAACAATCATCGCTTCCACCACCTTTCAGTAATTTTGCCTCGTTCTGACTTACAGATGAAGGGCAGTGTACTTGTCAGAGTGCTCTCAACATGATGACACTCTTCACATAACTGAGCCTGTACTTGGTCATTAAAGTCAGTGTTGGGCTGGGGTTGTGGCTCAGCGGTAGAGCAATCGCCTAGCATGTGCAAGGCCTTGGGTTTGATCCTCAGCACCACATAAAAATAAATCAATAAAATAAAAGTATTGTGTCCAACTACAACTAAAAAATAAGTATTTAAAAAAAAACGTCAGTATCACCAGGCATGGTGATGCATGCCTGTTGTCTCAGGCTGGAGGGTTAGGGGAGGCAGGAGGATGGCATATCAGTGTCACATCTTAAGCAGGCAGGACTCCTGAAGTGGAGTCCTTCTCAGGATGTCACATCTGAGGTACAGATTGTCTGGGTGATGTCAATCTGGGGAGCTGTATCTTGCCTCCTAAGGGACAGCGGGACACAGCAACCATTGGTGGTTCCTCTATCAGTGACAGAATCACGTAGTTCCTCTGAGTGTCTCCACAGTGCAGCTTTTTCATAGCAAGCAGGTCCTCACTAGTTTACCTGCTTCTCTGGGGCTCTGAGCAGTTTTCCATGATCAGCAACAAGTTTGCCAGAAAGCAGAGGAGTTCATGACCATAGGCAGGAAAGGGGTCTAACAAGGGTTTTTCTGCGGGACCATCATCAGCACTTACTGCAGCCAGTAGCTGAAGTCATTACTCGCACTCCTGATTCTCAGGCATACAGATCCCTCTCCCTTATTCCTTGTTGTTGAATCATTGTTTAAGAGGAGCCTTCCTGTGGGCCTGCTTCCCCGCCCACTGCCCCTCCCTGCTGCCCACCATGCTTCCTAAGGAGCAGCCAGTCCTGCTCAGCTTCCCTCCTGCTGCTACACTGAGTGTGGTTGTCCCCAAGGTGCCACCCATTTGTATTAAAGAAAACCCCTCATCTTGGCAACCCACCCCACTTCCATAGATCCAAATACTTGTTGCTTCCCAAGCCCGTGCATGGTAGCGCCGTACCGAGCTCAGTCTCCAGCCATCTGTCAGCTGCTGGCAGGAGCCGTCTGCTTTTCCCTGCTTGCTTCCCCAGCTAGGGCCTACCACACACTGGCCACTTGCCCCTTCAGTCCCCTCTACACGGGACACAGTCTCCAGTGGGCCTCATCCTCACCGACCACTGTCACCTCCTCAGACTGCCATAAGACTTGCCTTCCTTCCCTGCCCCCAGAGCTTTCTTTCTGAAAGAAAGAGGTAGATCTCTAGGTTACATTGTTCCTTCCTAAAAATCTGATCTGCCTACCCACCACCAAGTTCAGCAGGAGAGGGCCAGCTGGGCATGGCCTGCGAGGTCCTGCAGTGGAAGCCAGCCCACTCACAGTGCAGGCCAAGTCCAGGCTCTCCTGGGAAGCCTCTGAGGCAGGGTGAGTTGCCCCTTCTCACTGTGCATTTCTGTTGTGCTACTGTCTCTGGGGGTCCCAGGCAGTCCTGTGCCTAGCCTGTGTGTGCAGACATGTCTGACTGCTTCTCATGTCACAGCACAAGGTACCTTGTGCATGTTAAGTGCTCAGGAAGGGCCACAAGAGCAGATGGCTGTCACCCCTGGCTGAATGAACAGGCGGGCTCATGAGACTCCACACACAAGCCTTTGCCCCCATGGGGGCAGTAGGCGAGTCCCGTGCCTGCTCATGCCAAGGCAGGGCCAGGGCCTTCTGACTCCAAGAATCGTCCCATGCAGCTCCGGGAGGTCCAGAGAGGTATCAGGAGTCCAGACCCAGGCTTTTGTCCTGTCTTGGCCTTCAGCAGGTCACTTTGTACCTCAGCTGCCCGTGCTGATATGGGAGAATCTGGACCAGGTAATCTCTGAGATTCTGTCAGGTTCTATGATTTACTTTAAAACAAAGGAAAGCCCTGCCAGATAGTGAGGTGGAAGTCCAGACAGCAAATACAGAATGGAGAGGACGTCCTGGTGACAGCAGGGCTGTGGGTGGAAGCAGGACTGCTGGGCAAGTACACGTGCACAGGCACACGACACTGGCCAGAGTTCCCAGGGAGAGAAAGGTTTTCCACCCTGTTGCTTCTAAGGAGGATTTATTTGAGGGAAAGATTTTTTTTTTTTTTCTCATGGTGGCACCAAAAGAAAGGCTTGTGAAATTGCGTAGAGAAGGGGCAGAGGTGGGGTCCTGTGGGAGAGTGCATGCCCAGCACTAGATTTTATCCCCAGCCCTGCAATAAAAGACAACAAAGTTCCCTGAAAGGTTCTTTAGAAGCCATCCTCCTGACCTGCCTCTTGTCCTTCCAGATCGAGATGGCACAGAAGCTGCTCAACTCTGACCTGGGAGAGCTCATCAGCAAGATGCGGCTGGCCCAGCAGTGCGCCATGACCAGCCTGCAGCAGGAGTACAAGAAGCAGATGCTGACTGCCGCCCACGCCCTCGCAGTAGATGCCAAGAACCTGCTGGATGCCATTGACCAGGCGAGACTGAAGATGCTTGGGCAGGCAAGGCCACATTGAGCCCGCCCGGGGGCTGTACTTCTTCCCTGGGAAGGTGTTCACCGACCTTCCACCAGCAGCCAGAGCCAGCGTGTCCTCAGGCGCCAGCACCACATCTCCAGCTGAGCAACAGCTGGCTGAAAACCTCTCACATAAGTTTAACCACATCTTGACTTGGGTTCATTTTTGTTATTCTTTTTAAATCATGGGGTTCGGAAAAGTCTGGGGTCCATAATGTGGCATTTTTCAAGAATGAAAATTATACATTAAGAAGCTTTTAAGAACATGAAGGCCAGATGCAATGGTGCATGCCTGTAATCCCAACAACTGGGGACACTGAGGCAGGAAGTTTGCCAGTTCAAGGCCAGTTTCAGCAACTTAGCAAGACCCTGTGTCAAAATGAAATTAAAGCAGAAATGTGAAGAGCAGTTGGTATTCCTGTTAGTGGGAATGGCCTGGGGGCTGTGTTCATTCCTGACCTGCCTTCACTGAATATAGGAAGAAGAGAATGTGGTGAAGAATCCCAGGAGACCCAGGAGGCTGAGGATTCCTTTCTTGCCATAGCATTATTATCCAGACTGGGGTTTGGCTAGAACACCCTTCTGTTGCAATATGCTAATCCCATTTACAAAGAAAGAATATAAAAGCTATATTTTGAAGACTCAAATCATTTCAGAAAAAAAAAACTAGCACCCTTCTGTCTCCCGCCTTTCACTTTACATGGACATGGAAGCGCTGGGCTGGAGCCAGCTGCAGAGCCCAGCCAAGACTCAAAACTCGTGTCTTCTCACCAGGATAATGTGCCCGTTGTTTGTAGCAGTGTAATTTCTCTTGGAAGCAGAAACACTTTGTACCAGAGCACCTCCAAACTGCAGCGAGGAGTCCAGAACCACCGTTTTCCATTTTTATATGATTTATAAGGAAAGATTAAAGCCATGTTGACCCCTCACAGCCACGGGCGCTGGCTGACCCTCATCGTGTCTGTCTTCCCCACAGAGAACTAAGCGGGACGCAGGGGTTTGGTTCTCGATAGATGTCCAGCTATTGCACCATCGTCCTCTTAGATCATTCTGAAGAACACACCCTCCCTTTAGTTTGTCGGGGGATATGAATTATTCTCAGGAAGAATATAATGAACTGTACAGTTACTTTGACCTATTAAAAAGGTGTTGCCGTAAGGCTCTTGTTCCAGTGTGCTTTCTTTTGATTCTCTTCCTTCAGATGACCTAGAGTTTTTCAGAGGGGTTGCTAGGTACAGTAGCAAGCTCTCACTGATGCTGTTTTCCTTGTTCCTGTGTCTCTGAGCATCTGGAGGCTATCCCGAGGCTGGCTGCCCACATCACAATGCTGGCTCAAGTGCTCCTGCAGGGAAGGCTCCCTCTGCAGGCCTGGCACTGCAATCACCCGTCCAGACTCAGGAAGCCATTTGGGCACAGGGCCCTTTTTAAGGGAGTTGCTGGCTTTGGTCGCCCAGGCCCTCCCTGATCTTGCTGCAGTCTCTGAACCACAGAGCAAATCGAACTGAGTCCCCCAGCTCCAGGACTATGGGAAGGAGAAGGCTTAGGAACAGGGATCCGAGGGGAGGAATCCGGGGGAGTGTTCTCAGATAAACACATCTGTGTAGCTGCACGGTCGGCTCCATCTTGTGCTGTGTGGCATTTTCTTCATCCGAAGGAAGCATCAGGGTTGTTGTGTTCTGAGACAGTCTTTATTCTCTAGCATTCTTGGATCTCTTGAGTCAGTTTCCTCCGTTTTAAGATGGTGACATGGGCTGGAGTGTGGCTCAGTGGTAGAGGACTTGCTCAGTGATACACACCGTCCCAGGTTAAAGCTCCAACACCACAAAAAAAAAAAAAAAAAAGTGGTGATGAGGACAGTGATTATGAAATAAGAAAAGCCCAATGTAGGGTCAGGGGCTGCAGGGCTATCTTATGCTTGTGGGTGTGCAGCAGCATCCCAGCTCCCGCAGCGATGACTGCCAGAGCTTTGCAGACCTGGCACATGACCCCAGGGAGGAGGCCAGAACTGCCCCATTCTCCCTTCAGAGGCTTCAGGGCAAGACTTGCCCACAGTCAAGACACCCCTTTGCTCTGTGGGCCACTATTTGGGAAATCCTGCTTTTCCTCTGGGGCAAAAGATGGCAGGTGAGTCTCACACCTTCCTGAACTCCAGAGAAAGACATTGGGTTTGAGAACAGGTGGAGAGGCAGGCTGCCTCAGGGCCAGGGCTGGAGGACAAAGGTGGAGTGTGGCCCCTATAGGCCAGCACAGGCTGGCAGCACCAGGCAGGGGCCCAGGAGGGAGGCCTCAGTGGCCTGGAGACGTGTTGGGCATGAGGTGACTTCCACTGTAAAGCAGAACGAAGAGTTCAAGGTGGAGATCCAGAGAAAAGTGCATGTGAGCCTTGCTGCAGTCTGGCTGGGCACAATTCAGGAGCCACTTGTCAAAAGAAACGAACTTTATTTTTAGAACCACACACGCCAAACAAAACCGCTCCTCAGGAAAAACCCTCAGAGCCCAACTGCCACCACCGGCTTCCCATAAGCCTCTCTCTCAACCACAAGCCTCTCCACCTCCCACAATCCTCCTGCTCTTGAGGCCGATTGGCTGGGTCGCGTGGGCAGAGCCAAAAAAGTCCCCCAATGAGCAGCTCCGTGGTCTGAAAGGGCAGGGAAACAGCCCAATGAGCATCACCGCAGAGGAGCCAATCAGCTAGATGTTGCTGGGGCCTCTGTGAGCCAATCAGCTGCAGTCTGAAAGTTTGCTGGGGCCCCTTTGGCTGTGGCTCTCAACGTCTCCCCCTCTCTGTTTAAACAACAAGCATGTGGCTTAGGGACCGTGCCTGCCTTAGGTTGTCCATTAGTACATATGGTCCTTACCCGTTATCGGATGAGCTGACCTCAAGGCGTCAGCCTCCTGTCTTAGGTTGGTACCATTGTAATTGGATCTTACCCGTCATTGACTACCGGTCCAGTATACAGCCACACCTGTGGAGAGGTCTTTGTACCAGCGGGGGGGAGGGGGGGAGGTTCCTTGCCTCACCTCTGTTGGCCCCCAAATTTTAGCTGAACGATCATGACAAGCAGAAGGGAGGAAGATACACCAAGTCAATTGACGGCTCCTTTTGGAAAAATTGTACCACTGATGACATCATCAGCAAAAATACCCCAACACTACCACAAGTCGCTGCACCAACAGATAGTTCACAATGCATACAAGTGATACGTAGTCCAGGCAAGTTCTGCAAGCAGTTCAGTGATGGCTATTGCAGAAGCTGTAGATTGGTTTTATCTTTGTCTTCACCGGCACTGGGATGAAGATAGGAATTCTGGCAATAATGGCTAAAGAAAAAATTATGTAACATTCCAGAAGGCACTAAAAGAAAACAATTTTCTTAACAATTTACATTATCTTGAAGAGAATTATTAAATATAATGAAAAGAAAGGTGAAAGTAAACAAACAGATCTGTTAACCTCCTTTTTTGTTCACATATTAAAACAATCCTCAACAGTTGTTTACCCAATTTAAATTAAACCATTTAATTCACGTGAATAAAAAAAAAATATTTGGATCCATTTTTTCATGAGCGCTCATCATATATGATATATGGACATGTGTACATTCAAACATATAACACAAAACACAAGTGTGCACACATAATATAATACATACAACACATAACATAATAGTAAAGGCCTTATAACTTTTTACAGGTGAAATCTCCATTGCAATGTTTAAAAACTCTATAGTCAAAAAATAGAACTGATCAGCAAAACATTAACCTAGGTCTGTATGAGCTCAAAAAACAAAATAGAACTTCATGATATGGGAAAGGGCAATAATAAAATAGATATTGAAAAAAGCATCCTGGTTCTGTCACAGATGTAAGGACAGCCAAACTGGAGTTTTGGATATCAGCTGTTATGGATTTGAGCCAAATCATCTTCTTTTTGGTCTGTAGAAATCGCTTTAGTTAATCTCTCTGGAATCCAAATCGGCTGCTGTTCTCCCTGTGGAAACACACAAACAGACCCCCAACTCCAGACAATGACTGGGTCAGGACCTTTCCATTGTCCTGTTAGAATATCCTTCCAAAGTACCTTGGGCTTATGCACATTTTTTGGACACACATGCCTTTCCGCAGCACTAAGTCCTGATGAATCCAAATTTTAAAAGTTTAGAGTAAAAAGGGTTATTTTAAGTTTATCTTTGGGGAATATATACCCCTTCCCAATTCCTTCTTTTTGCTTTAATAAGTACATTTTAATAGTTTGATGAGCTCTTTCAACTATGCCTTGTCCCTGTGGATTGTATGGGATTCCTGTTATATGAGTAATGCCAAATGATGAGCAAAATTGTTTAAAAGAGGTAGAAGTATAACCAGGGGCATTATCTGGTTTTAACTGTTTTGGAACGCCCACAGTGGCAAAATTTTGTAAGCAATGAGCTATAACATCTTTAGTTTTTTTCTCCGGCATGAAGGGAGCCCATCAAAAATCCAGAAGAAGTATCAACTGTAACATGCAGATATTTTAATTTTCCAAATTCTGGCAAGTGTGTGACGTCCATCTGCCAAATATGGTTGGGTATCAATCCTCTAGGATTGACTCCAAGATTAACTTGCGGTAAAAAGGTCACACAATTTTGACATTGTTTTATTATTTGTCTAGCTTGTTCCTTAGTTATTTTAAAATGCTTTTGTAAAGTATTAGCATTGACATGGAACCTTTTATGAAAATTTATAGCTTCTTCTAGTGTAGAGAAAATATGTATGTCATGTGTAGTTTTATCTGCTAAATCATTGCCCAAACTAAGGGCTCCAGGCAATCCTGTATGTGCCCTGATATGTCCTATAAAGAATGCATCTTTTCTGTCCCAGATTAGACTTTGTATAGTGGAAAGCAAAGAGAAAACAGTAGAGGAAGGGGAAATGCTATCAGCATCTTCAAGGGATACTATAGCATTAACTATATACTGACTATCGGAAAATAAATTAAATACAGAATCTTTAAACATCACAAAAGCTTGTAATACTGCATTAAGCTCTACCTTTTGAGCTGATTGTTTGGGTACTAAAAATGTAAAAGTTTGATCAGGTGTAACTATTGCTGCTGTACCATTATTTGATCCATCAGTGAATATATTTGGAGCATTCATGATAGGTGTTTTTCTTGTCATTTTTGGAAAAATTACAGGATGCGATGACCAAAAAGACAATAAAGGATTAGATGGTAAGTGGTTATCAAATGAAACATTAGATTTGCACATGATTATTGCCCAAGTATTTAACTCATTAGCTAACTCATCAATTTGATTCATAGTATATGGAGTAATAATTTTATTGGGAGAAATTCCAAACACTCCCTTCGCTGCTTTTATTCCTTTGAGTATTAATTGTCCTACAGCCTCAGGATACCTAGAAAGAATAGTGTTAGGAGAATAAGATAAATGTATCCATAATAATGGACCTTCTTGCCAAAATACTCCTGTAGGAATATTTTTTGTTGGTAGTACAATAAATAATAAAGGCAAACTTATATCAATTCTATCCAAATGCATATTTTCCATATATGTTTCAATGATTTTTAATGCCTTTCTTGCTTCAGGCGTTAACATTCGGGGTGAATTTGGATCTGATGGACCTTTTAGGATATCACATAAAGGTCCCAACTCTCCTGTTGGTATACCTAGATAAGGCCTTATCCAATTTATGTCTCCTAATAACTTTTGAAAGTCGTTAAGTGATTTGAGTTGATCTACTCGTATTTGAATTTTTGGTGGACGGACCATGGTTGAGGATAATAGAACTCCTAAATAATTAATTGGAAAATTTAATTGTACTTTATCTATTGCTATCTCTAGATTATAATTTTTTAATAAGTTTGTAAGTGTGGCATAACATTCTAGCAATGTGTTTTTAGCTTTATGTGCTAATAATACATCATCCATATAGTGAAATATTTGTCGTTCAGGATTTTGATTTCTAAGTGGCTGGATTACTTTGTTAACATAAATTTGACACATAGTTGGGCTGTTAGCCATCCCTTGAGGGAGTACTTTCCATTCATATCTCTGATCAGGACCTTCATGATTCAGTGCAGGGATAGTAAATGCAAAACGTGGACTATCCTCAGGATGAATTGGAATTGAAAAAAAAAACAATCTTTAATATCTATAA